GTAACCGCATATTTACAATACAGACGTGGTGATCAGTTGGACCTTTGATTAATTAACATACCCTTTTTTTGACTGACCCCTTTAATTCTTAAATTTTTTAATTTCAATTTATTTAATAATTTTAATTTAATAATTTAATCCAAGGAGGTCAAATTCGAATTGCTGTTCAATTTTTTTTTTTTCAGTTCGGTGTAATTTTCGACCTAACAAGAGCGGAATCACGCTCTGTAGGATTTGAACCTATAAATAGAAATATTTATTTTTATTACTATTCCATTTTATTTGTGTATTTCGCGTTTTCTTATCACAGTAAATACCACTGTAAAGAAAAAATGATTCTTTTTGTACCCCAATATATCACAGTCGGCTACCGACGAGTGGTCTTTAGTCTTGCTTTTTGAAACTATAGTATGCTTGTTCGTCATTCTTAGTTTTGATGATTTGGAATATTTAGAACTTAAAAGGTCAACTTCAATGGATGATTCTTGATTTGCATAAACTAACGAGTAAAGTTAATTAAGTTATTTAATTTTTTATTTTTTTTCAAAAATATTTTTAAGATACAAATAAATCATGCTGTTAAGAGAAAATTTTTTGAATAATTAGTTTTATATAGCGTGTTTTTTATATTATTGATTATAATCTATATAAATATTACATTTAACTTTTTTTTTTAATGAATATTTTTCGCGGGAATTCTCAGGCGGAAAGGGACCTATTTTGTTTTGCTGTTTTAAGAAAGGGAAAATCTTATCTATCGAATCATTGTACATTTAAATTTGAATTTTGAATTAGGAATTCCGGGTACAAATAGACAAATCCAAGTGGTCTTTAACCACACATACATGCGATTATATATGTATTACCATAATGTAATACGATAAAGAAGGAGGATTTTAAATGCGAGATCTAAAAACATATCTTTCCGTAGCACCGGTACTAAGTACTCTCTGGTTCGGTTCTTTAGCGGGTTTATTGATAGAGATCAATCGTTTCTTCCCGGATGCGTTAACATTCCCTTTTTTTTAATTCGAGTTATTGTCGCGGGACGGGGCGAAAAAGATTAGATCGAGATACAATCAAATATCTGTGACTACTCTCTCGCCCCCCCTTTTTTTTTTTTTTTGATTCTTTACTCATTTCCATACTGTAAGAATTGCAGGAAATCGTTCGGTAACACTTCTTCCTTATTTCTCAATGATAGTCGACCGATCAGAGAAATTCCCGTGAAACTCTTTCATTTCATAGAAGTGAATTCTTATTCTTACAAACAAATAGCATTTCCTATTGAATTTGTCCCCTGGACTGGACCTATTTATTCTGAATTCTGAATTATCCGTTTATCCGTCGCTACGCTGTTCCCAAGGACTAGCAAAATCGAAATAGCGAAATTCTTGGGTCATCTCAATGGGTTCAGAAACCACACGTTTCTCTGGATCATCATAGCGTACTTCCACATATCCACTCAGAGGAAAGTCTTTGCGTAATGGATGACCCTCGAAACCATAATCTGTTAATATACGGCGTAAATCCGGATGATTGATGAAAGAAACACCAAACATATCCCATACTTCTCGCTCCCACCAGCCGGCTGATGGAAATAGACTGACTACCGAAGATATTCGTGTTACTTCGTCTGCACTTGTTTGTACACGAATGCGTGAGTTATACCGAGTACTCAGTAAATTATAGACAACTTCAAATCTTCGTTTTCGAGAGGGATAATCAACTCCGCAAATATCGATCAAAACTTGAACCCTTGTATAGGTATGCCATTTTAGAAAGCACAACAATGGAAATAGGTAGTCAGTATTGGTATAAAATCTATTCCCATGTTCCGATCTTTTCATTTTATGTACCCATTTCTTGGGTAAAATCTCCCAACTATATTGGAAAATGAATTGGTTATCCATAAATGAAAATAAAGAAAGCTTGATTTTGGTTCCGCTTCTTGCTCTAAGCAGAAAGACTTGTCGGAAATCGCCGGTTGGGTTGGTCCAACCAAGAAAGGCATGGGAGTGGAGAGGCAAAAGTGAAAGACTGGCTACCAATAAAGATCCCTCACTGCACACTTTATATAGTTCTGTATCCAGGATCGGCTGCATGCTCTAGTGTTAAATCTGGTATAGAACCCAGGATGCTTGGTTAGGACCGCCCTACTATATCAGGACTTAACTCCTATTATCTATTGAGCGGGACTGAAGCTGCGACTGACTTGAAACTGGAATTGTAATATGTCTTCCTTCCAATAGTTTTCGCTATAGCGACTACGCTTACCTCGATTTGATGAGGCCTTAAGGCAATCTATTGTTTTTGCTTTGCTTGCCAGTTCGTTTGCGTATCAGTTTCTTTGCTTTCCTCCCCAGGTTCAGGTTCCCAGTTCCAAGCCTTAGGTCTGTCAGTACTTACCTTCACCTACGAATTGCGGGATAAGCGCCCTTTTTATTTGATGGCCATACTTCCTTCACTAATGCAGTCTATTGCTCCTGCTCCCTTGTCCTCTTCTTGCTCTGCCTATTCTTCACCCAGCTTTGAAGGAAAAAAGCCAAACATGGGCCATTCAATTCAATGCATGCACCCGGAAGAGGCTCCTTTCTCAATCCCATTCGTTACCACGTCTACTTCTTTACTTATGGCTCATGTCTTCGGAGGCTAATGTTGGTGATCGGTTAAATTGACATAGATCGGAGAATCGTTAAATGCTTCTTTGGGAAAAGAACTTCCTTGCCAATGGCTCGCTTCGAAAAGACCAGAACTCTATATACACAATTCTCAAGTTCACATTCAATCTCGAAAGCCGCCGTCACTTTCTTCCTGTTCCCGCTCTAGGGCCACTCACCCCCGTCGACGAGAAGGGAAAGGAGGAACTGAGGCCTCCAACCCCAGCCCTTGTTTCCAAGCTCGGTTCCCCCCCTCTCCTGTAAGCGGAAACCGCCCTCTTTTTGAACCAAAGGTCTGGCTCCGGAGGAACTATCCGATACGCAAGAGAGGCCATTCCTATTCTGATTTCAACTTACTCCAATCAGCCTTTGGACGACTACTTTGAATTCACCTAGGGATGTCCTTTTACCGACTTGCCATTCCCGGCAACAAAAGATATTCCTTCCGTGCGTAACTAGGGTCGGGTAAACAGATTTCCCCGGGGAATTGTAATTCTCTTTTCACTAGGGGACGAGAGAAAGGGCTGATTAGTCTTTTCGAAAAAAAGTGGCTAGGCTGCTAAGAATGGTAGCTATGCCTGTCTAGTCTACTTCTATGAGGTAAAGCCGGGAGCTGTAAGTTTACTCCCAACTTTTAAAGCTATTACCGCCAGTCTATTGTACCATTGGTTGATCCATCAGCTTTCTGAGCTAGCAGAGTCAAAACTAATTATATAAGGGCTACATGAGTCACCTCTTGGATATACGAATCGAGTATATAATTGATTAGTTTGGTCCGAACAGCTACTTCCTGTGCGCATATTTCGAACCACCTATAGCAGTGGGAGATCCTCACCACCATCGCTTAGCATACCACTTCCAGAAGTATATTAAATATAATAAGGCGCCTACTATAGATATATCTATATTTTAGCCCTATGATACTCTACCCCTCCTCCCTCAGATCAAGAAAAGCCAAAAAGAAAGAGAAAAGCAATAATTCTCTTCCGCTTTCGCTTTTAAGGTAGGGAAGGTGCCGAGTATGATGAATGAAATGTCTGGCCTCAACAGATGAATCCGTGACTGCAGCGACTGAGGAAGAATCGATGGAGTCATTTGCCAGCCGTCTTGTTATCCTTGCAGAAGATCTCTCTCTTCCCTTCAAAAGCAACGCATTTCTTTTCCTCGGATAAGCGCCCGGGGGATGCCTCCTACCTCCTTTTTGACCCTCTCTGTCTATCTAAGCAGTCAAGGAAGAAGCAAGCATCCTCAATCTTCTCTCAATTCGATTTCTTTCTATTTTTAAAGTACACCAAACGCTTAACGCTCCTGGGATTTCTTATAAACAGTTAGAACCCCATTTCACTAATCGCCATGAGGACATAAGTTCTCCAATTCGCCAATGTTCTTACTTAAAAAATCGATAGAATAGGTTTGGTTAGAGAGTGGGAATTGCATTGATATGACCAACGAGAAGAAGCCTTTGAAAGCCCCTTGTGGGGAGGAAAGGTAAGGCCCGTTGAAGTACCCGCGGACAAAATTTCTTTTTCTTGAAAAGCTAGCCTTGCTAAGTTCCTCTTTTAATTGATGTGTGAGGCCGTAGGCGGATTACCTCTGTCATAGGCGTCGGAGGGTTTCGCTTTCAGGGACTCTCGAAAAACGAATTGGGACTGATACTTTTTTCCGGAACATCAATAGCGCTCGTGGGCTGGCTTGGTTTGGTCTTCTCTCGTTTCGGGAACCATACTCTCGCTGGGACAGACGTTGAAGGATACCACAAGGACGCGGCTTTGAAGCGAGAGGCTTGATTTGATTAGAAATGTTAAGCAATGAATATTATAAAACTAAATTTTTTGATCGAGCCAACTTCTTTCAATTCCCTACTTTTTGCCTTACTATGAGATGAGAGCTTGAATGAACTATAACTAGAAACTGGGAAATAATTCACTCCAATGGTCGTAGTGGAGACCATCAAAGTGTGAAATTTTTGTAGAATTCTTCTCTTCATTCATCTTACTATGTTTATCTCTCTCTTTATTTTATCATGCCCAATGGGGGGTTCCGATACCAATTTGTAGAGTAAAAGAATTGTTTTAAATAATTCTAATCAAACTGAATATGATACTTGCTTATTATTGAATATTAAACTAGGCTTTAAATAGCCTTTTACAAAGCAACAGAATGCAAGAAAATAGATCATGATAGCTACTGTTATTAACTAAAACAAGAATAAGTCAAAAACAACTATCTCTCTTAGAGACTAGGACTTTATTAAAATAGAAAGCCAAATACTTCTATCTTCAAGCAACTAATTTCAGCAGAAAAAGACCCTTTCACATAAGAGAGCCCATTTTATGACCTCGGCGGAAGGAGAGTCATATTCAAGGCCTAAATCTGGGGGCTCGAGCCATCTCCTTTGCTTTATTGGGTATCTCTTCAATAAGCTGAAAGATTAGCTAGTGCTTCTAGCCCCTAGGAATTGCCAACCAACTAGTGTAAGGCTCCAAACACTCCTAGTAAAAGGGCACTAAATAAGCGCATGGAGAATACTCTCTTCTGCTGAATGCCATAACGGACAAGCAGTATTCACGGTAACTCGATGTTGGTATAGGGTCAATAAACCTGGAACGACATTTAAAAGAGCCCTCCAACCAAAATTAAGGACCTTTGGTGGCACTTGACACTTCCAAAACTTGGCCTAAACACCCTGATTCTAAAGTTGGTGAGCATGGAGTAACGACACAGGCTGTCTATATGCACTCCGAACTGTGTATGACCCTTTAGTCTCATATTTTCAGCAAAGGCGATCCACCGTAGGATAGCGAGGCAAAGGAATGGCTAAGATACAGTCTCTATCTCTAGAGTTGAAGATTCTGGAGATTAAAGGCACGTTTCAAAAACCATGCAAGATCAAGTGAGAAACACAAAACACTTCAGGAGCCATAGGTAATGGAGTTGTAACATAGAAGTTAAATGGATCCAATAGCCATGGATCAGACCAAATCAATATATGTGTGCCATTGCCTACCCGCCAATACATACCTTTGTGAACCAAATCTCGAGCTTCCCAGATGCTTCTCCAAAGATAACTGGGATTGCTGGTCAACAAAACACTAGGAAAGGAAGTATGCAAAAAGTACGTTGCCATTAACCGTGAAACCAAAGCTTGGGGACGAGAAAGCGAATTCCAGCCTTGTTTGCCTAGCATGGCTGTAATATCCTCAATTTTGTAGTTCTTTCTATTTTAGCTTTTTCGATGAATTTGGTTATCCGAAAAAAAAAAGGAAAACTTAAAATAATGGGAAACACTATAGATTGAGGATATTAATATTAATTAAATGAAATTTTCCAGAACAGTACCCTAAGATGTTTGGAACATGCGTTCCAGCTATCTTCTATCGTTGCGAGTTCAAAACTAGATTTAAAATGTGAATAAGCAGAAGATAAATCTAATGAAAATCAATCGGTCCAACCGCACTGATTCTAAATAAAGGGCTGATCTTTCTCAATCGTAAAGCTTAAAATTCTCATCATCGATCCTAAGTCAACTAGGTCTTTGTAAGACCCTTCTTATATCACCTCCCCAATCGCTGTAGACTCCAGCTCATTCTACATCTACATCGTGCACTCAAAACCATCGGCAGACAGCCAATCCAAAGAGAGTCAATTACTTTCTTAGGCTAGTTCCTATCCTAATGTCTAGAAATTTGGAATAAGGCGGATAGCCACTAGCACTACGTACCTCGCGACTAAGCCAATTTCCCTAGCGGGGACTAATGACTGTGAAACCTCAGTCAAGTAAAGTAGCACACTGACTCACTACCGAGACCTCTCACATGGATAAGTCTCTTTGCTTGACCCTAGTAAAGCGTGCTAACCCATAAAACCAAAGGCTTACTTAAAAATGTTTCGACTAGCCGGAAACATTTTAGGGCTAGCCTAACACGTAAGAATTACATTACTTTCTTCATCATGAAAAGATCCTAGTCCTATTCGTCCCTTCCCTTTCTACAACCCTTTTCTACTACACTGACCAGAGTTTGGTCACGGCCAATGGAGGCCCGAGAACCTTAAAGGCTTTTCGCACTAACTGTATCGTCCCCTTATGTGAGGCCAACTTTTTGTCGACTTCTTTCTTAGTCTTCGTAATTGAAGTCCCTTGGCAACTAAGCATTCTCTACGTCTGTTAAACAAAGTAGTTAGTTGGGAAGGGCACATCGCTTGATTTTCAAGGACCTCTATCCCAATCGGTTGAAGCCTACCTTCGGTTACCT